AGTCCCAAACGTCATATGGGAAGAACGGAGATGACGTGAATGTCTCGTCAATCATGAAAAATGGACACCACGTTTTAATCTTAGTTCAAATGTGAGGTCGTCGAAAGGTCAAGAACGGGTATAAAAACGGTCGTCCCGATAGATGCAGTTCACCTTTGTCAACACATCAAGACGGATATTGAGGGCACAAAAATAAGCGTTAAGCCTGTTGGAAGTCCATTCCGGCCATTTCTTTTCTTCCACAGGGTCAAGTCAGATGAGCTCACCGTTCACAATTAGTTACAAGAAGCCTGCAAGAACGATATATTTTTCACATGTGCTTCAAACTAAGTTGATTTATTTAGCTCAGCTGTGCGACAGAAACATTCCAGACACAATAATGTCATTTTAGGCTGATGTAGAGATCATTTCAGATCAACTTAGTTCCAATTTGAACCATCCAAATGTACAATTTAAAGTGCTAACCGGGTCTATGTGAACAGCACCGTGCTTTGTTGTCAGAACATGGCGTGTTGTACATCTACAGGCACTCAAGATTGCACAACTGTCGTGTTCATTAGGCAGAGGCGCTTCGACGCCTCGCAACACATATGTAACATACTGGGAGCAGTCATGTTGGTAACTGAGATTATAAGTAATCAGCTTTAGAAACACGATGAGTAGGGTGGTACACGCGTCGCGCGTTCATGTAGCCTCTCCGTTAATAACAACATAAGGTCATTAGCCTTGGATGACCTTCAAATTACCTTGCATGCACTCATATGGACCTACTTGTGGACCTCATGCACCAGAATGATATCAACATGCTTTCTTAGTGGAGCATTCAAATTGTGCGTCCAAAATTACTCAATAAAGCTATCGATTTTGAGCTAAGCATGTGGTTCGCAGATGGCACCCATATAACATGACCTGGGCCACAGTCATTATGCTTCGTGGTTGCATGATGGTTGTACATGTGAGCTAGAACTCTTTTCCTCACATGCAAACATCAAAATTCACACAATAAGTGCTTACAGATTTAGCTTATTTATGACAAATATCCAAAATCGACCTGATTTCAGTTTACTGAACTCGCTTGTTTCGAAAAATCTGAAATATAAAAACTGTTGGTGCTATCATGTTCTAATACTATGACAACGTTTACCACCGGTAAATGACCACGAAAAGATAAGTTTGGTCAAAGTTTTAGAGTTTGACCCCTTTGAACTGACCTAGATCACTGATCTTGGTAGAAAAACGTCATATTTGCTCAAACGATGTGCAATTTATAGATGTACTATTACTGAAAATTTTGTGTTGCTGCAAGTGTTCGATTTAGGTCCGTGCTCGAGAAATCATAAGCAGGAGTTGACTCTCCCGGCCGGACGCGTGTTAAGTAAGAAAAGTTTCAAATCCAACATGACAGTTCTGCCGAGCTCAGCCCATTGAAAAATGAGGAAATTATTGATATATGTTGTAACACGTGCACATGTGAACTACTTTACATGAGTTTACTCTGCATGGCGACCATTGGCATGCAGCGAAATTTGGCAGGATACGTACTCCCGTATTACCCTCATCTTCTTGGCATCAAAATTTCCTGTCTTGCGTGATTTTTGTTCGGTATGGTTATAGCACGGCATTAATCGCTAGGCATCCTTCGCGTTGTTCATATGCAGATCTTGGTAATAAATGTACAGTGAGGCATCCTCTTCTGGTACCGGTCTAACACTTCAAGCGGTTGGGGGATACCTACAGGAAATAAATTGCGCACCATCGGCACAGCAAATTCCGGGAAATGACAGCCATATCACGATCCCGATCAGGGCTCAGGTGGCCTGCCACGAAGGCCCAAAACACAAATAATTAGCATCCCCCCTCCCACGAACTGAAAGAACGTACAGAAACTTTGGAAAGCACGCCACTTTTTCAACCTCAGCAAATCTGCAACCCCCGAACATGTTGCCATGTTTTGCTCTCTATCTGCAGCCACAACGGAATGGTCTGGACAGCACCGCCATGAAGTTACCGCCACGGGACGCTTGCGTTCCATTTGGCCCATGCTAATGTCAGAGCTTAGCAGAATAGTTGCAAAATAAATGGAAATATTGACAGCTAGAAAGGTGCCCTGTTAATCCGCAGTACACAATACATTCGACATGCTACCTGGCTCATTCCACGACAAATCGACAGGTGAAGGACCAAAATAACACCACATGTATGCGCGCGCGCGTGTGTGGTGTGGGTGTGGGGTGTGGGTGTGGGCGGGTGTGGGGGTGGGTGGGCGTGGGTGGGTGGTGTGGGTGTGGGGTGGGTGGTGTGTGGGGTGGGGTGGGTGTGGGTGTGTGGGTTGGGGTGGGTGGGGGTGGGTGGGGTGTGGGTGTGGGTGTGGGTGTGGGGTGGGTGTGGGTGGGGTGTGGGGGTGGGTGTGGGTGTGGGTGTGGGTGTGGGTGTGTGTGGGGGTGTGTGGGGTGTGGGTGGGGGTGTGGGTGTGGGTGTGTGGGTGGGTGGATGGGTGTGTGTGTGTGGGGGGTGTATGTGGGGGTGTGTGGGTGTATGTGGGTGTGGGTGTGAGTATGGGTGTGGGTGGGGGTGTGGGTGGGAGTGTGAGTGTGGATGTGTTTCTGTGTGGAGTGGGCGTGGGTGTGGCTATGTGTACGTTTGTGTGTGATATATTGAAAACCTGACGGGGTTAACTGAGCACCGAGAAGGTGTTATGAGGAGAAAATGTGAAATGGCGTCCATTAAGGAACATATTTACATATTCATATCCGTAACTCAACACATACGGCAGCATCAATCGGTGATTAAGCCGCGCGTCCAGCGAATCACTCATCACCATGAGCCGTTTGCAATAGCACGATATAATGGCCTGATCTGAAAGCAGCATACAAGACAACGACTTTATGCAGCAATGATATGATCCACTCACCTGCGAGTCAACTCATGCGACACAACTCATGCTTTCGCCAACACATTTTGCGTCGGCGCGCCCACAGTAACATATTACCGTTTTACTGTTACCATATGTCCCGCGTCGTTGGACAGATGTTAAGTCCTCATCGTCGGGTCCTCGGCAACACTGGGGAGAATTTGTTCAAGTCCTGAATGCCTTTCACAGTGATGGCCTTTGAAAAGCGCTCCGTGAGTTGCTTCGTGACGCTCGCCACCGCCTGCAGACACATAGAACAATGGCTTTACACATAGACACATAGAAGCATGGTTTTGCTGACCAGTTTCTCCGACAGATATTTAGACACGTCATTCGCCGTCAGTATTTGCCCATCTTCGGTGCCCCTGAGGCTCTCTTGTGTTGTGGCAAGCTTAGCAGTGCCCACGATGCCGTCACGGGCCCCGTAACCATGTGACGTGGCAAAACAATGCCACTTACAGGGCACCCCAAAGTCGGCCTCATGGTGGCATGCACTGATGAAGCTTTAGCTTTTTTGTACTATGCGGCACTGCCGTCTGTGAAACAAATATTTTTAGATCGGGCGATCCGGCGCGAACGTCTCGGACAAGTCGTCGCAAACACGCATGAACCACGGCGGCGTTGGCTTTGTACCATCCGAGACGAAATAGCAGCTCTGATGGCACAGCCCGCCCTCCTCCCGCCAGTGTGCTGCGAACGGGCGCACAGCGCACTGAAGGGAGCCCGGTGGAAGGATGGCACAGCCCACTCTCCTCCCGCCAGGTGTTTTGCGAACGGGTGCACAGTGCACTGAAGGGAGCCCGGTGGAAAGCCTTGAACCGCGCCATGCATTACGAATGAGTCATTTCCAGAAAAGTCGCCATGGGCAACTACTTTGCCGTCGTTGGTAGTCTTTGCGTGGGGAAGTACTGATACTATCAGCTACAAAGTGGCATCTAGCTAATTTTGCGATTTGCTGGCTAAGAGGTGTCACGATTTTCTTCCCTTGTTCCGATGATTTCCATCTGCGCGCAGCGATTCGTGCCCACCCACCGCTTATATCGCATCTCACCATCCATATCGTTATTAAGGGTTGTGTTAGCCTTGTCGCTATCCTTTGACTTGTCCGAGAGAATATTACTTTAAAAGTACATCACTCCCTCCTCACCAGCGTAGGTCCCACAATCCCATACCATGCAGTCACAATGCCCTACCATGCAGTCACCGTTTTCCGTTTCATATACAGCGTGATCACGGAGGTCACGGTATTTCAGATCAAGGAAGCCGAGAGTCGATATGGGCAGTTTCTGATTTTGATGACCTGTGCGCACGCATACAGAACATGTACCACTGTGGCCCGCCAAGCTGCAGTGCTTCGAGCAAAATGCAGCAAATGTCGAGGAAAGTGGTAGGAGGGTTTTTATTCCCGCTATCAACTTCATACACTTCAAGCAAGCTCCCCAAGATAAGTCTTGTTTGCACTCTTCTCATGGTTTCATCGAGCTGTTGGACAGTGACACAAAGGCCCTTGTCCGGACACACCCGGTCGACCTGGTCCGACCGGGTTTTTATTTTTGTGATTAAAAAATGATTGTGCCTAGTCTCTGCATTAAAAAAAATGGCACTGGGATTGTCCAAAAGATCAGATTAGGTCACGTGAAAATTGGTCACGCTATCAAAGCGTTGGAAATAAAGTGAAGAAAAATTTAGAAATAGCAGAAAGAGGCACTGCCTCATTGCAAGCTCAGTGGGATATACCCTAGAACAATTTAAATAATTTTGTATTGCAAAGTGATTTTGGTAACTGACTTCCTAGAAGGCCTAAAGCTCTACCTGTTCGGGCATTGTTCTGACCTTTCTCAAAAGTGCACAATCGGGTTCAAGGCGTGAGACAACCCCTGGATGAACTTTCATTTCCAATATCGGGTGCTATGCTCCTGACGATTTGTCGTGATTTCTTCACCTGGTTTTCAAGGCTATGACGGCGTCACCAAAAGTCACGTGACCAATGTTGGCCTGAAAACCGATGGTGCGCTCAAATCCTTTGATGTGTCACGCAGGCTTTCGGTTCTGGGTGAGCCAGATCACGTCTTGCTCTGGGAAGCGTCTTACTCCGGCCTACCCTCCATGTCCTAGGCCAACTTCTAGGTATCTAACAGATTTCCCACTCATATTTGGGCCTAACACGCAGTTGAACCAGCTCATGAATTGCTAGCAGCTCCAGCCGACCGACGAGCACAAACGCTCGTATATTTTTAAGAGAACTGGGTTTGCACAGCACACAGTGACATAGGTGCGTACAGCATTTGTCCATTTCAGGGCGTGTCAACAGCGAGCCATGCATTCTGCATCATGCACTGCTCGGTATCGGCTCTTAAACAGCGTGGCGAGCTACATTTCACATGCCGCCCCCCCCCCCCCCCCCCCCGAATGCAGAAGGCCCTGACGACAGCTTGGAGCCTGTTCCGCGGCCCACGGTATCTATGACAGCCTACGGCCGAGTGCGGGCGGCGGTCGTCGAACGGGGCTCGGCTCCGCTGCCACTCGAAGTACTACTCTGAAACTCAATGAATGCGTACGACAGCGTATGAAACAACAATCCTATGTCAGACGAGCTTTCTACAGTAAGGATAGCCTCTCGGTCTTGAGGCCTTCTCAAGTCTGAGGATTTCCAAAAAACACTGTTAAATAATCAAATTCGCTTCCTCGAACATCACGCACTCT